AAGCCTATACAAGAATAATAATACCGAATAATACATAATGGTACTGATAAGTGCGCAGTGTCAACAAAAAAAGAAAAAGAAACCGATTAATTTTCATTATTTGGTAAAAGAGAATGTTTAACGATTGGTCGCGTTAGAGTTGCGGTTGGTGTCTTGATTGTAGCAACTCTACTGAATCCATCGATGCCTGGGTAAAGTTTTTCTATGCGTCCAAGTGCCCATTTCACCGGAGGAAGTCTTTTATCGCGTATTAAAACAAGCCGGCCTTCTTGAGGTAAATTACGTGATGAATACCACTTATTTGAAGTTTGTATTGATTGTAAATAATACTTTTCCCATTTCTGCCAGAATTTATCAATCATTTGTCTCTAATGTTGCCACCCTGATAGTAGAGATCTGTTATCTCCATCCAAACATGGTTCTGGAACAACAGTGAGGGGGCAACCTATTAAAAAATGTGCGGGCGTCAACACCTCATATGAATTTGGATCATCCGATATCGAACAAAGGGGCCTTGCATTGAGTATTTCTTCAATTTGAATCAGAATGGTTGAAAATTCTTCATATGTCAAAATTGTTCCTCCAATGATCTTTTTTAGATGAGATTTCACAGATCGAACTCCGACCTCCCACTTTCCTCCGAAATGAGGTGCTGCGGGAGGGTTAAATTTCCATTGAGTTCCATCGCCGCTCAATACATGTGCTATATTTTTCCATTGAGAAGACGGTGCAGAGAACATAGTTCGCAATTCTCGATCAGCTCCAATCAAATTAGTTCAACAATCACTGTAGAGGCAAGATGGAATTCCTCGACGTCCACAAAAACGTTTGAAGGCGGCAATAAAACCAGCTATCGTGTAGTCTGTCGATATCTCGAGGTGGATCTGAAGAACATCTGTAACATTAAGGTATTTATTACGGTTAAAGACATGCTTACACCAAGCCGTGATTCGAATGAGTTTGATGAGCTAGGAATATTTTTCTTTCAAGCTCCATCCTTCTTCGTTAGTCGTAGCAGCTACGTTTGATGATAGAACTGTCCGTTCCTCCAATTTTGTATCGGTGTCTGAAGTTGACGGAGTTGATGGCCAATGAGAGGATGGACCGCACCATGCGAAACCATGCAATTCGGTCGATTGAAATTCCGCTGTCAAACCGATCCATCTCGGAACGCGAACAGTTGAAAGGTCATTAAAATTGTCTAAAAATGAGTTCCACCGTGCATTTAATCTGCCCGGTAACGGATCATCTCAGCTCAATTTTCGAGTGCATAACTCTTGCATAAAGAGTTTAGCTGTAATAATGAGAGGTGCAAGCCAGCCCAATGGATCAAATAATCGCGCTATGAACGATAGGATTATTCTTTTAGTTAATATTTAAGGTCTGTCTGTATACAATTTAAAACTGAACAGAAAACTGTCTTCGCGATTGTTCCAGAGCAAACCTAATGCGCGCGGATAGTTACTATCGTCTACAATGTCCACATTAAACGAATTAGATTGACATAATAGTTCAAGATGCCCATTTTCGTGCCGTAAAACCGCCGCCGCCAGTATTTTATTTAGTTGAAAGATAACTTTTTACACTTCATCAATGTTATTTGCCCCCGATAATATATCGTCCACGTAGATGTCACGACGATAACCGTGGCTCCAAGGGGCTGAGAATTTTCGTTCTCGATCGCCAATTGATGTAAGCACCGAATTGCTTGGTAAGGCGCGCAAGACAATCCGTAAGTTACCGTTGTCAGTTGATATGATTGTAAAGGGTCCTCACGAGTTTCGCGCCAAAGAATTTTTTGATAACGCCAATCCTCAGGATGCACTTTAATTTGTCTATACATTTTTTCCAAATCACACGCGAATACAATAGGGTGGCGCCTCCACCGAAGAAGCACATCTATTAACTCTGTCTGTAATTTGGGGCCGATATAGAGACAATCATTTAATGACACGCCAGAGGATGTTTTTTGCGAACCATAGAAGACCACGCGTAGTTTTGTGGTAGTGCTACTCTCATGAATAACTCCGTGATGAGGCAGAAAGTATCCCAATCTTGAAGGCTCCGAAACTGAACGAATATGATCCAACTCTACGTACTCGCGCATAAAGTCACTATATTTATCTTGAAAGTTGGTATCGTTTACAAATCGCAATTCCATTCGGTTGAATGTCCGAACTGCAATGGAGTATGAGACTAATTACCACTAATTCAGTAGCAGATTTCCGGAAAGGAAGCCGTACTACGAACCGACCGTTAATGTCCCGTAAATGATTGTTCACAAAATGATTTTCGCATTCTTGTTCTTCAGGAGAAATACACGATTCATGAACATTATCATCTTCTAATTTCCAAAATCGTTGCATTAAATGTAAAAGTTCGTGATCAAAAGAACATTGGAATACATACGGTGATAATGTAGATTGAGGTTTTTCACTCAGTGCACCGGACAGAATCCATCCGAGAGAAGTTTGTTGAGCTACTAGATTACCGCTTCGTCGAATTCCGTCCTGTATTATTTTTGAATAAAAGTCAACTCCTATTATGAGCTCTATTTTTTTACATGAAGTGAGCTGAAGTCTTTTGGGGGAAGATAAGCGGTGAGTTTAGGTAAAACTAACATTTCTTCATTGTACGAAATAAATGGGTTTACATTTGAGATAAACACTAGTCATTTTGACCCAATTCCTGAAATGGGAATCGTCGCTGACCGCCGACGTAACTGAAGACGTTGAACCAATGACTCAGAAATAAATGATACTTCAGATCCTTGGTCGATAAGAGCACGGACAACGATTGTTTCATCATATACGACGACTAATGCCGTCCCTAATATAACGGGTGTATGAACGTGGAGTGAATTGATTATATGAGATGTGGATGAAAGTGACGGTTGATTGATGTTCGTCTGTTGAATGCTTGGTTCTGGATTTATTTTGGGTGATACAGGAACATGATGTAATGTAGTATGATGAAACTTATTGCAAATGCGACAGCGTTTCGCAATTCGGCAATTGTTCAAAAGATGAGGACCTAAGCAATTGAAACAACGACCTTTCGATCTGATGAATTCCACCTTTTCCACTGAACTCTTTGCAAGGTATGTTGGACAAAATGACAGATAATGTTCAGCTCCGCAAAGGAAGCAATTTGAAATTTTAGAGGAAGCGTTATGAGATTTAATTATGCTGTTCTTTTGAATGTTCACGGTTGGATTGGGTTACGGCTGCTGTGATGATTCTCAATAGCTTCTAGAATATAAATACGTCCCAATAGAAACTTCTGAAGCTCATTAAATGAGGATGGATCACGGTGTTTAGTAATAGCAATGCACCGATCGCCTCTTTAACTTCACTGACCAATCGTTTGAGGTCACTCGATGAATCCCCTTTTACCGATCGCGCGGAGAAAAGCACTGATAGATGCGATTTTATCAATAATCGCGTGTTTTCATAACGTTCGATTAATGTCGACCACGCTCGTGCAAAATTATCGTTTGTTATAGAAATGTTCTTCAATAATTGAGCAGGTTTACCGATTAAACTCATTTTAAGGTATTGAAGTCGTTCCACAATTTGCATATTTTCCGTCAAATGATGGTAAATGAATTTGAGGGAGATGTCGCGATAAAGCAGAGGTGCGCGGAATTGACGCGGTGGGCGCAACGGGAACTGAAATCGACTCCAAAATCCAAAATTTCGCCTTTTGTATTTAGACAAGTTTCCTCACAATTTAAAAACATATCAGTAGTATAAAAATGAGAGTTCTGGGGCGGAAGTTAATCCCCCAATCCCCCTGTGACGTCTGCGCATGCGCGCAGGAAGTGAGCGCGGGAAATTTGAAATGCATGTGGCGCCATCTGGTGGTGTGTAGTGAAACTAAAAAACATGTCATGTTGGTTGTCTACGTCGTGAGGCGCCACCTAGCGGTGGGTGGTGGAACTAACCTAGCGGTGGTTGGTGGAACTGACGCTATGTTGGTTGCCTACTTTATGGGACGCCACCTAGCGGTGGATGGTGAAAGTAGCGTCATGGGGCTCCACCTAGCGGTGGACCTCGCATGATGCCGATTCTGGACCAATCCACCGATCCACTGCGCATGCGCGATCCACCGTTAGGACGCCACCTGGTGGCGTGTAGTGAAACTCAGATCAGATCCACTGATGAGATCCACCGATGAGATCCACCGATCAGATCCACCGATCGGATCCACCGATCAGATCCACCGTTTAGATCCACCGATCAGATCCACCGCGTGCGGGGGGGCGTTTTGCCTGTTGAGCGGCGCGCGCTGGGCGCGGGGGGGTGTTGCCTGATGGGTGATAAACTTTATTAACATTTCGGTGGTAGTATTAAAATGAATATTTTCTTTTATTAAATTAAATAAACTTTATTAACATTTCGGTTGAGATTCCGCTGGATTCCTACGTTTTTACAAAGTCGATGAGAACATTCTGATTTATTTGAAATAAACGCTCGTAAATGAACACATTATTTAAAAATTAACTTAAAAATCGAATAGGTGGATAGTTAAGCGGGAGGCCTGATGAGAAACCTTTCCAGTTTAATGCTTAGCAGTTGAACAGAACAAAAAAGAAATAAAAAACTTAAAAATTTTATTAATATTTGCTTCGCAGACTTAATTACTAAAAAAATGCATGTAACGTTATAGAATTCAGATACAATTAATATAAAATTTTTTTATTAGCAGTTGAACAGAACAAAAAAGAAATAAAAAACAAAAAAAGAAAAAAATTTCATTAATATTTGCATGGCAGACTTAATTATTAGAAAAGAGAATCAAAAAACAATAGTATAGTTTTGAAATGTTTTTAAAAATTTTTATTAACATTTTACTTTCAGAGTGATTAAACGCTGTGATAAAACAACCTTACACATTAAATGTTGATGATGTAACAATGCATTTTAATAATTTAATGCAATTTAATAACTTTCAGAGTTGTTAAACGCTATTATTATTAATACTATGATGACCCCAAGCTAATGTATCAATCCCGTCATTACAAATACATCGCTTGGTGAAAGAACCAATTTATTTTGTAAGATAGTAAAAATTATTTGATGAAAACTTCTAAAAGATAATTGCTTTCTAAACAAAACGGCTTTAGAATTTAAACAATCGATATAATTTTTAAAAGTAATTTTACGTTTCACGACAGCCTTCTTTACACCTTTAGATTTTTTAGTAACCCGCCCATCAGCGACTCTGTTAGCATACACCTTCGATCTTAAACCCACAAATTCTTCCATAATTTCACCACAATTCTCATCCTTCATGAGACCTAAAACCGCTTTATTTTGTAACGGGACGTCAAACTGATTATCAGGACTGTAGTTAGACGTGTCAAATTTATTTAAATTTAATTTTACATCTGTATAAACATCATTGGAATTAATTAGAACGGTGAAGCTATCCGTATCCATGTAACATAACCGAATACCTTCACCATACTTTGGTTTTAAAAAACCATAAAAAAAGTTGTACATTAATAATTTCGACAACTCTAAAACCGTAAAACCAACATATAAAGGTTTATCGTAAACGATATGAAGACGTTCCATTTGAATAGCCGAAAATGTTTCCGTAAAAATTTTAATATTCTTAAAATTTAATTTAGCGATTAAGCTGCGCGCCCCTAATTTTGGTCTACCCGCTCTATGACCATGAACGTCTTCCCAACTGGTGACTAATCTTACATCAACCCTCTTATCAACATTTTCCATAGTTTTACCGAAAACTGCGTTATTCATTAATTTAAAAAAGTCTTTTTCAAACGCGTTTTTAGCTGATTGACGTAGTTCTGTATTTTTATCGATGTAAGATTTCAACCACGCAGACTGTCTAAACGATAAAACTCTATTAATTTTACAAACTTTAAGACCGTGAGCAACGGCTTGTTTTAAATTTCTATAATGTACAACATAATTTTTCTTGTTAAATAAATTTGGAATTAATCTTTTATCACTTTCACATTTACCGTTAGGTGGTAATAGGTTTTCAGCTAGGAATGGGAGATCATTATGTAGATCGTGTAAATTTTCGGGGTATTCAATATCAACGTCTAAAATAAATCCAAAATCGGCAATATCAGATATATTATTAAAATCAAAATTTTCTATTTCGTTTTCAGACAGCCATTTAAAATCGGAAAAGGGTATAAATTGATACATTGCCCACCCATACAAATTATAAGCGTCCCAATTCATTAAAAATTTTGAGGGTGAATTGACGTCATAATTTTTCATATATTTATTGTTAGCTTTAGCATGCCGTAGGGAGCATTGGGAAATACCCCCACGGATACCTTTTTTAACGAAATGAACTTGATCTATATCCGTTAACAATTCCAATTTAATTTTAGTGAATTTTAACATGGCATCCCAAGAAAGTCCCGGTGCCGTATAATAATGAGTTGGATCCAAACCGTACGTTTTAAAACATACACGTCTAAATTTCTCGAAAACATCGGCTAATAAAAGAACGTCGGTCTTTAAGTATAAGTCGGAATACTCTTTTAAGTTTTGACAATTAAATTCTTTCCACACAAGTTGAGCGTGCAAATATTGCTCATCACTTATATCTTCTAAAGTTAATTTGTTGTAAAACATACTTTTAGGCGGTAGTTGGGTATCATTTAATTTATCGAAACAGGTTATATAATTGTATGAAAATATACCCTTTTTTGTTAGCAATTTAAAATGTTCAATGTATGGAAAGAATTTACGTATATTGATAAAGTCACATTTTTCTAGGTTATCAGCTAAAGAATCTAATGAAGATGCCATAAATCTAAATGAATCCACAAACCTTAATTTTAAAAAAATTTTGTCAACATGTCCATCTTCGTCCATTACTTTATCGACCAACATTCTTTTACTAAAACTGATGTAGTTTTCTTTATTGTTCGGCAATACATCAAGTCCATGTTCATCCACATCAGCCATTTCTTTAATAAATAAATGACAATCGTAACCACTAAAATTGTGTAAAAATATTGGAATAATGTTTTGAAGTTTGAAATTTAGATTACAGTTTGAATGGGTGGGGCCGCGGTATTTACCGCTTATGTGACAATGATCGCGAACCTTAACCTGATCGGATGTGAAAGGATTTTGACAAATAAAACAATTTTCAGCCGAATCGAAATTCTGTTGCTCATCGATCGTTAGAGGTAGCATTGGTTTTACGGTTTTGAAGTATTTGTCGTAAATAAATTTGACATCATCGAGTAATTTTGAAATAAAAACTTTAGATGCATCGAGTCCCGTATACGTTTCGAATTTATTGAAACTGCTATCAACGGTGGAAACGATGTAATAAGCGAAACTGTAGGGCTGATGCATCTCAACTTTTTCGGTAAAAGATTTGGATGAATTGGGCTCGCAAAAGTTGATGGGTTGTAGAATCGATTCAAAGTCAGCATAAATCACGAACGGAGCCATCTGTGTGAATTTATAATTATTAAATTCTAAAATATTTTCGGGGGTATATAAACCGAAATAATTAGGATTTGATTTTAAATTTTTTGTGGGAATAATTGTTTTGATATGATTGCAATCATGATTTTGATGTGCAATCAATTTTTCGTTTGATGAAAATCGCGTTAAACATCCATCGCAAAGGTGTATAGAGCCGTTACGGTTCGTGCACTGACTTGATATAAGCCTGGATAGGTTCTTAATTAATACAAAATGACCCTTACCGTTTTCGTATAGATAAAGCAAATTTATATGAATCTCGCGTCTTTGTTTCGTAAAATAAATTGGTCCTTCCACCACATACTTATCTAAATTCTTAACTAATTCATACACATTAATACTTAAATTATTTAATTTTTCTATTTTAATAATATCCTTTAAACTGATGGGAAATGTAATCCCTTGCAAATTTAGTGCTTGACTATAATGAGGGTAACTTGCAGTCCGGTCTAGACTATATTCCACGGGATGAAGAGCTGCCGTCAAACACCACGCAAGACATGCATCATCTTCATAGTTTTTAATATTGATGCATGCCTTTTTATTCGCGATTTCTTGAGGTAAACGAATATATGATGACCCTGGTATAGGTCGAAATTTGTTAATGTTAAGGAGTAGGTGAGATATTGAGTGGAAAGCCCACCCCGACCCACGCTCCTGAAATTCCTCGCTTTGGGTTAAAATATCATGATTCATCTCATCATATACCTCATTCAACGCAGTAGATGGAGTAATTATTTTAAATTTGGTGTTAAAATTTTTTCTGACGCAATAATTTCTTCATTAACATCTTCATCAAACCCGGACTTTATAAAAATAGCTAATAACTCAATCTGAGCTTTAATCGAACCATATTCACTGAGATGCTGTTCAATCAGTCTGTTGACTGTTTCACAACATTTCAATAAAAAAGATGGTATATTATCATCAGATTGAGCTCCACTAATTTTATAGCAAACTACCCTATTTTTATAGCAAGACATTATTTTTTCAATATTATTGTCAATAACTTCAACATGCTTCGCTCGAAGATGGGTTTCAAGCAAGGCGAGTGATGGTAAAAATTCACCACAAACCTTACATATCGTACCTTTGTTATTCTTCTTCTTGTTAATTGAAAGTGGTGGTGATGTTGAATTTCGACAGCGTTTGGTAGTAGTGGATAATGATGATGATGATGCAGGCATCTCACTAGTTGATGACGGTGGTGCTTGACGTTTAGACTGAATTGGAAATCCATGAACCGATCGTTGATGTATGTTTAATTTATCACGTCTTAAAAAATATTTCCCGCATATTGAACAATCAAATTGGGTTTTATTATGTATTGTTCTTGTATGACGGTCGAGATTATGTTTAAACGAAAAAGATGACTGGCAGAGTTCGCAGATAAACATTTTTGTGTCTTAACACGCTGGAGAACTATTGTAAACTATAAGATAACGATGATAATTCATCGCTCTTAAGAGGTGGGGATTTGCGTTACGTAACTCGCAAACGAACACTGTAGTTTAATAAATTCGTTTGAAGTTATTACTAAAGTGAATTGAAAGTCATGAATTTACGTCTTATCGTCAATACGGCGGAAATTTACCGCGGTTATTACATAACTCGCAAACGAGCACTATGATTTAATGAATTCGTTTGAATTTATTATTAAAGTGAATTTAAAGTCATGAATTTATGTTTAAATATTCATTATCAAAGCAAGGTCAATACTCAAAGTCACCACAAAGTTGCTTACGTAAGTTAGCGTTATTTTTGTTAAAAAAAATATAAAGTATTTGAAATTAAAATAAATTTATTTAAATGAGATTTTTAACATAATATTTATTTAATATACTTAATCTATATGAAATTAAACAATCTAAATATAAAATATAATGAACTTCCGACATATTAATTACAATAGGTATCAAAGAGGTTCTCAAATTTCCATCAACATCGAAGTCTTCGCATTTAATACATAGTACGTTCTCACTCAGGCGGGTAATATTTAAAATTCCTTCTGCTAATGGTATTGTGTCACTTGAAATCACCTCCTTGTTGATGTAAAATTGTTTGAATATATAAATTAAATGATCCCAATCTTCGTGGTGAAGGCAAATTTTGTTTAACTCATCATTACGCGATTTAAAAATTAACTCTACACAAGGTATAAAGCCTCGAACAACACTAATACCAACTTTAATGTTAAATTCACCTACAGAAAATACACTTTCATCAATAAGTTTAATTTCTTTCTTGAGATCCTCTTTGAATTTTACCCACAGTTTGTCAATTAATCTCCAAAATTCTAAATTTACACCGTTGACACTCATGTTTCAGAGGATGTTTGATACTAATTAACATGTACCCTATATCTAATATTAAATAGGAATGGGGGATTTAGATTTTAAAATTAGGGAGGGGGTGTGTTTTATAATTACGTGTTGGGGGAATGTTTAAAACTGAAAGGGAATTTGTATGAAAATATAAAAGCACTAGTATCATTACAATTTAATTCAGTAAATGCTTTCTATATGTTTGAAGCGGTACAGATTGCTTTCAGTAGTGTATATTACGATTTTGAACTAAAGTGAAGAGTATGGAAATTGTTATAAATAAAATTGGGGATATTATTAAAATATTAGAAGTAAATGGTGGAAATTTACAGGATATCGATCCGAATCTTTTTCAATACATTCCAATCTACATATTTCAAACCAAAGTTCAAAGCGAATCGCTAGAAAATAAATGGGATTTATTAACACCACAACAGAAGATGGAACTGAAAAGTTTTAGACCGTGTTGGAAACATTTTAATCTTCCAACGCAAAATACCCATGTAGATGGATGTCCACCTCCAATTAATCGGTGTCCTTCTTGTCGCAACGGTAACGGTGATGGTTTTAAGTTTGAAGAAAAGAAATAAAAGCAGTTATAAAAGTCGGGAGAGCGTGATGACCTCGCTCCCGTTATCGTTGATACTATTTATAAAGTTTAAAACTTAGTACACATCGTGAAAAAGTATAAAATAAAGAAAAAACTCTTATTAAGTCGATTTTTTATTATTTTTCATAATACATTAGCTTTAGGAATCCAACTGTTATGAGATTTATCTAAACCTAACCACTGCACGTACACTTTGTTTCCTTTACGACGTAATATTTTCTCAATTAAATAAATATCTTCGTGTTTCGCCTTTTGTAGTTCTTCTTCATAGAAACATCCAAGTAAAACCTTTCCTGTTATGTCCTCCAGTAAATACGTCTGCGGAGATGTGTTATTTATTTTGGATATCTTGAACAATTCCGTAGACCAGTTTGGAGTATATCCTTTTTCAAATATTGTTTTATATTTACTTATACGAACTACATCACCTAATTGAAATTTCGATTTTTTGTTCGTATTACTATTATTATTGGTATAGTAAACGGAAGATAGTAGATGTTTTTCCTGCTTTGCGGTCACATCGCAGGGTTTCATTCGGATAGTTCTATGTATAGTATTTTTAGAAAAATATATAAATGTAAAAATTATTAACATCGAAAATGAACCTAATGTACCTAAACTAGTAAAAACTAATTGTTGTTGTGTTAATCATAAGAAAAATAGATTAAGCAATTGTACTCTATATAATGTAACCATTTTATATAACTTTTTAAAGAAATAAAAAAACCTTTTCTTTAGTTTACCTACATTTTATTCTTTTTTAAATCGCAAAGTTAANCGGTTCTCACTCACGCGGGTAATATTTAAAATTCCTTCTGCTAAAGGTATTGTGTAACTTGAAATCACCTCCTTGTCGAAATAAAATTGTTTGAATATATAAATTAAATGATCCCAATCTTCATGGTGAAGGCAAATTTTGTTTAACTCATCATTACGCGATTTAAAAATTAACTCTACACAAGGGATAAAGCCTCTAACAACACTAATACCAACTTTAATGTTAAATTCACCTACAGAAAATACACTTTCATCAATAAGTTTAATTTCTTTCTTTAGATCCTCTTTGAATTGTATCCACAGTTTGTCAATTAATTCCCAAAAATCTAAACTTACACCGTCGACACTCATGTTTCAGAGGATGTTATATACTAGTTAAAATGAAATTTACACATAAACATGTACCCTATATCTAATATTAAATAAGAATGGGGGATTTTACAACTTTACCAAGGTACAGATATTTTAGATGATGAACTTATTTTTGATAATAGAAATTTTAGTTGATCTATTATAGATGTATAGGGACAAGATATACCTAATATTGATAGACTTTTATCTACGGTATCCACAGTCTCTCTTAAATATTCATTATATCGAACTATTTTATTACCAACAAAAAAATTCAATAAACCATCTGAAGATTTATAAACACCATCAAAATGACTCGGTATCCCTGGAAACTCATCAGCAACTGACGTTATAAGTTGTCGTGTTTTAACATATTGATAATCCACTTGAACAGCATAGACACCATCGAAGAATATAAAAGGTGATCCGTAATTACTTGTCACAACTCCTGTAATATTAGTATGATTGTTAAATCCCAAACCAGTTGCTTCAAAATCCCATTTGTGACGTATCGACATACTCCTAAGTTCAATTATATAAATTGAATGATTTGTAATAACTATAAGGTTATCATTAGAACCAAAAGAAACCTTATAATTATAATTCGTAGCTTCTAAAACACCTCTCAAAGGTTTTAACCAATCAATTTCATGTTTCATGGGATGTAGTTTCAATTTTAGACGTAGGTTTTAACGTTGTGGTTTCAATTTTGGTTGTAGGTTTTAACGTAGTAGTAGTAGTAGTGGATACTTTATGTGCGTAACTTGAATTCCCATAAATTTTCTGTATCGCATGAATGTCATACTGACTTAATCTAAAATTTTCAATATGAAGGAATCCATAACTGGGAAACATGATAGAATCAAACTCATTATTATGATCTAATCCTAATGCGTGTCCTATTTCATGTACCAGAACTAGGAGTAGATTAGTTTTGCCTGACAATGTGGTAGTAGTTAAATCCCAATCTTCATCTTTATCTAAATGAATTTCAACTGCGTTTTTGTTAATGTCAGGATAATCGGCATGCCCAAGAATTCCTCCCATACCATCGAAGCAACCTAAACATGATGCTTTATCATTTCTAATAAGTTCACCAACATGATCACCATTTTCGGTTTTGAGCATCTGATTTCAGCAAGTCGAAAGAATCCTCATTACCACATCTAGGCTTACCAAGTAAATCTACGGTTCTAAAGTCTATTTTACCGGTCACTGGAAGATTAAATGATTTTTGAAAACGAGATATACCTTCATTCAATAAGCTTTGTTGGTCCGCATTTAAATCACTTTGACTCGCATTAGTTTCTCGTTCGATATACCCATATTTATCGAGAAGCATATAAATTTCTTCATCACGTTCACTTATCGTTCCCAATGTATCTGTCCACATACAAGTCCAGAGAAAGATAGTTATTGCTTTCATGATTCATGAATTTACGTCTACACTGTATGATAGTTTACAACTAAATGATTAAATGTGAATTAGGTGTTGATTATTATAAAACGACAACCAACTTTATAAAAATTTATTTATTTACAACTTAAATAACTTAATTTTGTTTACATAAAAATTTTTTTAAAATTAAAACATTGTTCTGCGAACATACTGCTGGCGAGCCGATATGAAACCAACACTGATTGAAGGTTGAATTTAATTTAGTCTCATCTTCTTCCTTAAATTCTAATGCAATATCCGTTATTATTGATTTATTATGGTTATGTGTTTCCAAAAACTGCTTCTTTTGATTCCCCTTAACAAAAATTTGATCGTAGGAAGAAATTAAGTGATCAATTACATTTAGGCCTTCAGATTGATTTATCCACCCATCGTTATATAACAACCTGTGATGGTTGCGTTCCAAATATCTTACTGTCTTCCGATCTTGAACATTTAATCGTTGGAATGGTATACTAGGCTTAAGGTGTAAATGTATAGTGTAGTCGGTGGTGGTGATATCCAGAAGAGTAAATTAATTAACTTCGAATTTAGAGTTGACGTAAAACCCTTGAACGTCTACAACCACACTTCTGAACTTCATATTGAAATCTAATATGTATATGAACTCATGTTGGAATTTATTCATTTATAAATGCCTCCCCACTCAAACTCATGTTAAAATTTAATTTATAATTATAGACACCTCACCACTCAAAGGTTTGTATGTGTACATGGATTCTTGAAGTAGTATACAGTATGCTTTAGTATCAGGTGGAAAATCTTTACTGCTTTGTATTTNTAAAAGTTAATGGATACTTTCCTGATAATGAATCAGCTAAATTAGTTATTGACGACCATATTAATGTTAATGATTTTGAATATATTAACGATTGTTATTACAATTATAACTACTGGCATGTGTATCGTAATGCAAATACTATATTTGTTAATTTGACTGATTATTAAATTTTATGTTTGTTAAATTGCGTATAAACGTTTAAGTTGTTATTGATTACCGCGCAATTCGCATTCTAAAATGTTTCAAGGTTTTTTCGATGGTATATAAACGGTTAAAATTTTCATATGGAACTCAGTTACTACCTTCTCTTACTACTCACATCAGTCGCTCACGTTATAAAATCTATTTAGTATGTCGCGGTTAAGTCAATTAGGTCAGTATCAATTTTTCCCGAAGAAGAACATATCCGAATTAGAGGTAAATAAAATGTATGTGATTAAGTCTGTGAAGCGGATTACATCATGCGCATGGCCATCAGTTGTCGTAGATTTGGAGGATGGATTCTCCGTATTTTTACCTAAACGCATCGCAGAGGTGATTACGGATGGTGAAATTACTGAGCTAGTTGGCATGAGCTTAATATTCAAAGGAGTAAAAGATGTCGGAAAAGGGAATCCAGCCCATCTCATCGATTTTGTAAATACGTAAAATAAATAAATGTTCTTATCGACTTTATAAAAAAAAACGTTAGAAAGTGAAATGTTAATACATTTTTTTGTAAAACGTAAAATAAATGTTCTTATCGAGTGTGTAAAAAAAACGTTAGAAAGTAAAATGTTAATAAAAATGTTTAAATAAATTTTTTTTAAACATTTTATAACTATACTGTTGTTTTTGATTCTCTTTTCTTATAATTAAGACTGCGAAGCAAATATTAATAAAATTTTTAAGTTTTTTACTTCTTTTTTGTTCTGTTCAACTGCTAAGCATTAAACTGGAAAGGTTTCGGTGGTTCGGTGGTTTATTGACTTTAAAGTTTCTAGATTTCTCTTTGCAGCTATCNAACGCTAACTTTAAAATATGTAAATAACCTTGTACAAAAATGTGTTTTAAATCTCTTGTGACTTAGTTTATTATTTAATTGTAAATTTAAATCATATTTACTTCAGTTGACTATTAAAAATTGAAGTGTTCACATCACCATCACAATGTCTTGGACCGACTTCCGTCTTCATTTGAAGTAGTGCTTAAACACAAGTTTCCCAGAGGAAATTGTCCAGCTCGATTTCGTACTTCTAGGAATAGAAGACTTCGACGGTGATAAAATGAACGATTCGCAATTTGTACAGTTTTGTGAATTTCACAATAATATATGGAGAGTTTATCGAAAGGATGATATTCTGTATGTTGGTAGTGATGATGACTTTGAAAATCATCAAAAATTTAAAGATTTCTTAAAATATAATGGATACTTTCCTGATAATGAATCAGCTAAATTAGTTATTGACGACCATATTAATGTTAATGATTTTGAATATATTAACGATTGTTATTACAATTATAACTACTGGCATGTGTATCGTAATGCAAATACTNAAGCGGTTTTAGGTCTCATGAAGAATGAGAATTGTGGTGAAATTATGGAAGAATTTGTGGGTTTAAGATCGAAGGTGTATGCTAACAGAGTCGCTGATGGGCGGGTTACTAAAAAATCCAAAGGTGTAAAGAAGGCTGTCGTGAAACGTAAAATTACTTTTAAAAATTATATCGATTGTTTAAATTCTAAAGCCGTTTTGTTTAGAAAGCAATTATCTTTTAGAAGTTTTCATCAAATAATTTTTACTATCTTACAAAATAAATTGGTTCTTTCACCAAGCGATGTATTTGTAATGACGGGATTGATACATTAGCTTGGGGTCATCATAGTATTAATAATAATAGCGTTTAACAACTCTGAAAGTTATTAAATTGCATTAAATTATTAAAATGCATTGTTACATCATCAACATTTAATGTGTAAGGTTGTTTTATCACAGCGTTTAATCACTCTGAAAGTAAAATGTTAATAAAAATTTTTAAAAACATTTCAAAACTATACTATTGTTTTTTGATTCTCTTTTCTAATAATTAAGTCTGCCATGCAAATATTAATGAAATTTTTTTCTTTTTTTGTTTTTTATTTCTTTTTTGTTCTGTTCAACTGCTAATAAAAAAATTTTATATTAATTGTATCTGAATTCTATAACGTTACATGCATTTTTTTAGTAATTAAGTCTGCGAAGCAAATATTAATAAAATTTTTAAGTTTTTTATTTCTTTTTTGTTCTGTTCAACTGCTAAGCATTAAACTGGAAAGGTTTCTCATCAGGCCTCCCGCTTAACTATCCACCTATTCGATTTTTAAGTTAATTTTTAAATAATGTGTTCATTTACGAGCGTTTATTTCAAATAAATCAGAATGTTCTCATCGACTTTGTAAAAACGTAGGAATCCAGCGGAATCTCAACCGAAATGTTAATAAAGTTTATTTAATTTAATAAAAGAAAATATTCATTTTAATACTACCACCGAATTGTTAATATAGTTTATCACCCATCAAGCAACACCCCCCCGCCCAGCGCGCGCCGCTCAACAGGCAAAACGCCCCCCCGCACACGGTGGATCGGTAGATGGTGGATCTGATCGGTGGATCTAAACGGTGGATCTGATCGGTGGATCCGATCGGTGGATCTCATCGGTGGATTTCATCGGTGGATCTGATCGGTGGATCTCATCGGTGGACCTCATCGATGGATCTGATCTGAATTTCACTACATACCACCAGATGGCGCCACATGAATTTTGAATTTCAAATTTCCCAGCGCCATCTATCGCTCGTCAGCGAAACCACCCCGTTTTAAGTTTCACTACACGCCACCAGGCGGCGCCTTTTTTAGTTTCACTACACGCCACCGGGTGGCGCCTCTTTTTAGTTTCACTACACGCCACCAGGTGACGTCCTAACGGTGGATCGCGCATGCGCAGTGGATCGGTGGATTGGTAAAGAATCGGCATCATGTCCACCTAGCGAGTGCCACCGCTAGGTGGAGCCCCATGACGCTACTTTCACCATCCACCGCTAGGTGGCGTCCCATGAAGTAGGCAACCAACATAGCGTCAGTTCCACCAACCACCGCTATGTTAGTTCCACCACCCACCGCTAGGTGGCGCCTCACGATGTAGGCAACCAACATGACATGTTTTTTTAGTTTCACTACACACCACCAGATGGCGCCACATGCATTTCAAATTTCCCGCGCTGTAACGTCACAAATTATCCGAAAAAAATCGATTGATTTTATCCGGCTCGAAGGACCAAAAAATGTTAGTTTTTCACTTACTTAAAAGAACTACGAATGTTTCACTAATCAGTAGAGAAATAACGAGAGTTCTGGACCACAAGTGATCCTTGAGGATCGAAGGATCGGCGAGAAATTTGAAAATGGATCCTTAAGGATCGATGATCCTGCGCATGTGCGCCGGAAGTGATGTCACGACATCCTTAAGGATCATCCTTAAGGATCGGTCGACGGTGGCGCCACCTGTAGCATCCTTAAGGATCGGTCGACCATGGCGCCACCTGTAGCATCCTTAAGGATCGGTCGACGCCCCTTCAACCCCATCTTAGTGCCCTATCAACCCCCTTCAACCCAACCGTTTAATAATTATTTAAAGATGTTATTTGAAACTTATTTTTGGGTAAGAAACTTCAATCAATTCTCAAATTTTTGTATTTATTTTATGTAACTTCATTAAAATTTCAAACTTTAACCAAAAATTTAAGTA